ACATTCCCTTATCAATTCTTACAACTAATATTCCATTTCCATTTCCTTCCCTTCTTATTTACTTCTCTTTTCAAGATAGTCCCAACTTACAACAACAGCAGTAAGTTTGCCCTCTATCGGGATGGAATTGATGGGTATTAAATTTAAAAAGCTTTTAAGAAAATCGGTTACATAAAACCACTGAACTGACGCAATAGTTTTTTTTTAAATCCACGTTATATTATCATAGAGATGAACCGATACGTGTATATAAAGGTCCCAGTGACCCTTGGAACCCGGACTAATATCCGGAATATTGAGAACCTTCGGGGCTGAATTAATGGCTCTAAGATACTGATAGCCATGTTGGACACATGAATTTATAGAATAACTAGCTGACCCGGCAAACGTTGTATTGCAAAACAAAAAAAACATTAGGGATGGGTCACCCTTACCATTTAGGGGTATGAAAAATAGATGTTGGCCGATTCTCAGACCTACCCGATGTGCACACAAAATTTCATGAGAATCGGTCAAGCCGTTTCGGAGGAGTACGGGAACGAACATTGTGACACGAGAATTTTATATATAAGACTAGCTGATCCGGCAAACGTTGTATTGCAACAAAAAAAAAATTAGGGATGGGTCACCCTTACCATTCAAAATTGTGAATCTAAACCATTCCCAGATCCCCTTGAACACACACAAAAAAATTCATCAAAATCGGTCCAGTCGTTTGAGAGAAGTTCAGTGACATACACACTCACAGAAGAATTATATATATAAAGATTTAAAATTATTGGTTTAACGCCCTGAGAAGGTGATTTTTCGTCAATGTTTTAAACGGCGTGCCAAGCGGGGCGGCGCTAATTTATTTTATATTTTGAATTATATATAATAGGTTTATTTGCGTTCCAAAGCATAAATCAAAGAAAAGAACATTATGTGGAGACCTTTGTTACGACTGAGGTAATGTCGGTCAATAATATGGGTATATTATTGCTTTAATATGATTATGATCAGGCTTTATTACATTGCACTTTCAAACGACAGTACTTCATCAACATCAACAGCCTTTAACAGTCCACTGTTGGACATAGGCCTCTCCTTAGAAAGGAGGTTTTGGCCTACTATACCACGCTGGCCAGACGGGTTGGTATAGGGTTTGTGTCAAGTTTCCCTTCTCTTTGCAGTATTGTTTTCTTGCGTAGTTTGCTCCCTTAGTCGGCTCTTACGACACTCACGGGATGTTTGGGGGTGGTGACAATCCGTATTCTAAATCCGTCACCACACGGACTTAGTATTAGTACTTAGTATAAAAATAATATTTCTTTAAAAAAAAAAAACGAAATCCCAGAACAACAGAAATGAGATGACCTTGATATACCAGTGAACGGTCACAAGAAACAATAAATACATTTATATATCTATTCCAAGGCCTAACTTTGACCGGTTTTAATAATATTTAACTACCAGGTTGGCTGTCTATATAAGGAGTAAAATAAGCTTTTTTTTCTCAAAAAACCCTATACAATTTGGCCCGGTCCGGGAATCGAACCGGCAACGTTTTTCAAATTCCACTAGAATACCAGCTAGTATATAATAAAAAGATAAAAACATTCACACTGTCAAAATATTATATCTATACTAATATTATAAAGCTGAAGAGTTTGTTTGTTTGAACGCGCTAATCTCAGGAACGACTGGTCCGATTTGAAAAATTCTTTCAGTGTTAGATAGCCCATTTATCGAGGAAGGCTATAGGCTATATATCATCACGCTAAGACCAATAGGAGCGGAGCACCAATGAAGAATGTTTCAAAAACGGAGAAAAATTTTTACTATTGAGAGACGCAGACGAAGTTGCGCGGGTCAGATAGTTAAAAATAATGTGTAATGTATTCTATCTCATTCTCTCGCCGACTTAATCCTATACATTTATGTGTTTGTTCCTTTATCGTGACGCATTTTCGTTTCATCGAGTTTCAAATCACAACTATTATAAAAAAGTTTCATTTCAATATATTTTAACCAAATTACAATCACCGGTGAAATCGCTGTTACCAGGGATTTCCTTTCTAGGGTACATCTGGTTCCCCGGCGACTGGTACTCGAGACATGGAAATTATTGCTATTTCCATGTCTAGGAAGTATGAACTTGTGGGCCATGAAAATATTATTGGTTTAGCCTGCTATGCACTGGGCAGCCTACGTAATAATGTTGAGGTGGAACAACTAAAAACCGTAATATACGAACTTGTAGAATCCAGACGAGTGTTTCTACTCTGTGGATGACTTTAGCTGACACTTCCCGCTGACTCGAGCGGGAGGGACTCCAAGGGCAGTAACACACTTGTGACTTTTGGGTTGCAGGTGTCCATGGGGGGCGGTAGTTGCTTACCATCAGGGGACGCGTCTCCTCGTTTGCCCCCTTATACCATAAAAAAAATTTACCTAAAACTATAAGTATCTATAAGCATTTCTTTTATTTATTAATATTAATGTGATTTATTTGATGTCAAAATTTTACTAATTTTCATTTAATTTATTGCCATTTAGGACGGGCCTGTAGGTCTAGTGGTTAGTGACTCTGACTTCTAAACCGGAGGTCGTGGGTTCGATTCCCACCCAGGACAAATATTGTGTGTTCTGTGTCTGGGTTTAATTTATCTATAATAGGTATGTATTTAGAAATATATAAGTATGTTTATCAGCAGTCTGGTTGCCGTAGTACAGGCTCTGCCTAGTTTGGGATCAGATGGCCGTGTGTGAGATGTGTGATATATATATTATATTTTATTAACTGTTTGAATTTTGATTTTCTTTTTTTTATTGTAACTGTTTCGATGTAATAATTTATTGACATTATTGATGGCAAATTGTATTTTACTCAAGTATTTTTGTAGGACATCCGACACAATGTAACAATTGGTCGTGGTGAATAAAGAATAACATAGCCAGTCTGCCCGGTTAACGGTCCTGTGTTTACTAGAGCCTAAACCTTATGCTCTGACTTTTCGTTTGCTACCTACATCATAAAAAAAACTGTTATTATCGAAATAGCGAAACAATGCTCCTGGAATAGAGGCCTCATCAATCATTGTACAGATATACGGTTATTGTCTCCGCTCTCTCTTAAATACTGCCCTCAGTCAGTCTTAGTTCCCACCGAGATTTGCGGTATCCCTCTTTACTTGACCTATCCGTTTTGCCTTTCCCTACATACCTTCTTCCTCAATCTGGTCTGAAATTAAATTGTGGGATGGTCATAACAGAAACCAGCTTAAACCGTTTAAAATGTCACAAGTTGAAAAATGTTGTAATAATTTATTTATTGAAAAAAAAAACTAAAAACAAGACTGTACGAGAATTTACTTAATATGTAATATTACATATAATATAGACAAAGACAACTCTGAACCTGAACATGGCAGGATAATAGAAAAGTAGACATAGGTATTTTTATATATGTAATTTGTTCCACACCTATTCATCCCGTGGGTGTCGTAAGAGCCGATAAGGGAGCAAACTACGCAGGACAACAGCACTGCAAAGAGAAGGAAAACTTGACACAAACCCTATACCAACCCGTCTGGCCAGCGTGGTATAGTAGGCCAAAACCTCCTTTCTAAGGAGAGGCTTATGTCCAGCAGTGGACTATTAAAGGCTGTTGATGATGATTGATGAATTTGATTGTTATGCTTGGTCGAAGAAAACGTTTCCCAGTTGTTTTTTTAATTAGGTGACACTAGTGGAGAAAATATCGATATCAAAATTTGCCATATAAATTATTTCTAGTAATTATTTTGGTAGTTATATAAAAAATAACTCACTTATTGTAAGTATGTGGGGATAGGGTCTATAACTATAATAATGAAATATTCTACCACATTCACACAACGCCATCTAGTCCCAAACTAAGCAGAGATACTCGTACATATATATACTTTTCTTTTGTAAATACATACATATTATACATAGAAACACCCAGACCAAATCAAACATTAAATGTTTATGCACACAAATGTTTGACTTGAGCGGGAATCGAACCCGCGACCTTTGGAATAGCAGTCCGTTACACAAACCACTAAGCCATCCGGTCGTGGAATGGAGCAGCATAAAACACTAACCATATATTTTCTTAATTCAATGTTCTTTATTAACTTAACTGACATATTTACAATAAAAACTTCCACCCTTATCACCTAGGGGATTAAGAAATAGCTTACAACCTATTCCTAGACCTACCAAATATACACAAAAAAAATCATATAAATCGGTTAAGCAGTTTCGGAGGAGTGCGATTACAAACACTGTGACACGAGGTTTTTTTCAAATTAGATTTATCTAAACATATATATCTATAACAGTTTATTTTTTAACTACTCCTGTTCTGCAAAATAAGTTTTAATTTGATTTAATTATTTTTTTACGTTTTCACTTTTTTAAAATTACAATATGATGCTGATGAGGTGATGTAAATAAAAAAAATTGTGTAAGAATTTAATAATAATATAATGTAATAATAAATAATAAATGACTTAAATTACAAATTAGCACTGAATTACATATAATAATACTAAGTAATTAATACAAATCTAGTTGAATGCCTCATCATCATCATCAACAGCCTATAATAGTCCACTGCTGGACATAGGCCTCTCCTTAGAATGCCTACTTATAGAAAAATATTTGCCAAAGACATCTACTTTGGTTCTTTTAAATTTGCAAACTTTTTGTTGTTTGTATATAACCCATGGCTATTGTTATTATTTTATTCCATTTTTAAATACTTTGTTATGCCACTAAAAATATTTTTTAATGGTCCGTCGCTTCGACCGCAGTTACGGCTGGTTTTGAACGCCGTAAGGTGGTGGACTGGGAGAAAATGCCTGTGGCATTAAGTCTGCCATTATACAATTAATTATCATTAGTGCAAAAATAATTAAATAAATAAAATGGTCTGATCTGATCTAGTCATATACGAGCTATTTTTTATATCAACATCATAAAGTTCATACCGTTTAGTTCCAATCCGCCGACGCGGACAGCGGCGACCACGGCGGCCAACACGACCACAAAATTGACCATCTCCGTCATACACTGACCACTGACTAAGAGGCACTGACCTCGAACACCACACACTCGTATTTATAAACCGACCGACGAACAAGCGAGAGTCATGAGTTTACGGATGTTCACCCATGTTTTGTTATCAACGAAGAGTGTCTGTGTTTTCGCACGCACCGTTCTTATATTGTGTTTAATATTTATATATATTCAATTTTTTATTTACAATATTTTTGAGTCAAATATTTAGAAAGTTTTAATAAGCATAATAAATAATAACATTTTGCGATGTACAAAGCGCTGTTTAAATCTGATGTAAGCTGTGTATTAATACGTAAAAGCAATGATAGCATACACATTGTAAGCAAAAGACTGACATGTTTATCCAGTGGTTGTTGATCTTTAGTGCTTAGCTAGAGATTGGTGGTCCCAATTTGAAGCTCATCATCATCATCAACAGCCTTTAATAGTCCACTGCTGGACCTGGATATTTTAGGCCTCTCCTTAGAAAAGACGTTTTGGCCTGCTATACCACGTTGGCCAGACGGGTTGATCTAGGGTTTGTGTCAAGTCTTTTTTTTATGGTATAAGGGTGCAAACGAGCAGACGGGTCACCGGATGGTAAGCAACTACTGCCGCCCATGGACAAGTGCCGCCCTTGGACCCCAAATCCCCAAAAAAAGAATTTGGGCTCCGGTAACCTCATTTACTCAGTGAAAGGCAACGAAAGAATTGCTTAACGCCGGTTTTCTGTGAGGCCGTGGTATCACTCCGGTCGAGCAGGCTCATTCGTGCCGAAGCATGGCTCTCTCACGGAGAACTCTCTTCCTTCTTTTTGCAGTGCTGTTGTCCTGCGTAGTTTGCTCCCTTACTCGACTCTTTCGACACCCACGGGATGAATAGGAGTGACACTCTGTATTCTTAATCCGTCACGATTTAAAGCTCAACAAATAAAATGATATTGAACACGATAATTTGTCCTGTGTTTGGGTGTAACTTGTCTACTGCTAACTGCTGTCTGCTTTCCAGAGTAGAGAAAGTACAGGCTCTGCGTGAGCTGGGATCGGACGGTCGCGTCTAAGATCAGTCAAATTATGATAATTTATTATAAAAATCTATCTGCAATTGTTTTCATAATTTGGTTGCTTGATTTTTGTCATTAGTTTTACATGATGTATATGTATAATCTATGTATCTATATATATATAAGAGATTTCCACGTATAAAATCACTCATCACGATATCTCTGGAACCATTAGAGCTAAAGACTTGAAATTTGGTAGGAATATTCTTTTCACCGAGTAGAGGTCAGCTAAGAATGGATTTTAAGAAATTCAAAAAATAAATAAATTACATAATGTAAATAGCAAAACAACGTTTGCAGGGTCAGTTAGTATCTTATAAGACAGTCAACTGATGCTCCTGTGGGTCAAGTGACTAGTAACTCAGACTATTAAGTCAGAGGCTGTGGGTTCGATTCTCATCCTAGACAAATTTGTTGTTTCTAGATGTAATCTGTGAGGTATATTACTATTATATATCAGGCTGTAAACCTTTCGAGTCAACATCAGTTGCTGCTTTGAGTCATGTAACAAAATATACAGTTTATATTTTTTTTCTTCATTTTTAACTCGAGAAAAATTATATATTGAAAACCCCTTCTGAATTATATAATTTTGTTATGAATGTGTATTTGTATTTATTTATTTTTCTTTTTTTTTTAAAAAGACCACGCCCGCATCAGAAATAAATCCTGTGTCGCTTGTGACTTTACAAACATACATGAAACGGACACAAAGAACACCCAGACTCAGAACAACAATTTGTGGGTCACACAAAGTGTCGTCCCATGTGGGGTTTGAACCCACAACACACGGCGTAGTAGGAAGCGGCGTGGCGACCGCTTAAACCACTAGGCCATCTGTGCAGTCAAATTGTTCAAAAAATTACCGCCTTATAAATTTAAACAGGAGGAAAGGAGATTATAAGGTTTATACCTTACCGGGATATTTGGGGCACAATATGGTCGCGTTTTACGGGCCAGGAATTTTTTTAACAGCAACATCTGAGACTAATAACTTAATTTTCTTTCGTTCTCAGTTATTAGATACAAAGCTTGTGTTATAATAAAAGGCCTATTGTATAATTACGTGATGAGAATTAATTGTAAACATGTTAATTGTATCCGTGAGAGATTGATTCATGCTGGTGTGAAGGTTACTGGTACAAAATCGCCAATTTTCTTTTCTACAAATGGTAGCAACCCACTTGGGTTTACCACTTATGATTCTTGAGTGACAGTGAGAGTTATAGGTGGCGCTAGCCGTCATTAGATGCCCTTGTGCGAGTTGATATCACATCTATTCGAACCAATCACAGCGCCGAACGCGGTGACCGTGAAGATCGAGTCGTTGTGAAATACATACAATACTAGGACCTATGGTGAGCCCCCTACTCGTTCTCTATGTATCATGTTTCAAATTTTAAAAAATTAAAACTTTTTAAGCTAACTTCACATACGCAGGATTTTTTTTTTTTTTTTTTTTTTAAAGACAACTCCCGCATTAGGAATATATCCTGTGTCGCGGGGGACTTTACAAACATACATGAAACGGACACAAAGAACACCCAGACTCAGAACAACAATTTGTGGATCACACAAAGTGACGTCCCATGTGGGGTTTGAACCCACAACACTCGGCGCAGTAGGAAGCGGCGTGGCGACCGCTTATACCACTACGCCATCTGTGCAGTCATAGTCATAGTAACTTGGCCTACTTAAGGTTTCTATGTAAAATTAGTGCAAAAAGCTGAAATTTCCAGTCAATGTATTTAAAAAATATAATAATACAACATCATCACATCAACTTTTATAGTCCTCTGCTGGACATAGGCCTCTCCTTAGAAAATAAATTTTGGCCTACTATACCATGCTAGCCAGACGGATTGGTATAGGGTTTGTGTCAAGTTTTCCTTCTCTATGCAGTGCTGTTGTCCTGCGTAGTTTGCTCCCTTAGTCGCCTCTTACGACACCCACAGAAAGCCACGAATGTAATTCGAATCATTTAACGTATGGTAATAGAAAATACCGAATATTATATTAAAATTCGGTTCTTAAAAGGACTATCTATTAATATACATGTTTGAAAAAGCCCTTGAATCATAAGAAATGAGCACCGGAATGTTATTTGAAGACAACAGGTAAAAATAAAACACCGCTATATTTTTTTTTAATAAAATTCTAATAATAATAAAATAAAGTGGATAAAAACAGTTACGAGTAATGCCTATTGCTAAAAATAGATCGTTGAATTTATAAAAAAAAAAATGTATACGTATAATTCTAATGTGTAGTTTCGTATAAATCGGTCTGAGGTAATTTAACTTAAAATAATTTTTATTCTAATTTCGACAATATATCGAGGCCTAAATGTAAATTTGTAACAATAAAAAATATATTTTGTCTACATATATATCTTTAAATTTACGACTTTTGGCTTTTTAGCTTTACTATATTGAGCGATCTTGATACTTGCCTAGTTTCATGACCTATGGTGACCTATGGTCAATGAATTAACTTCGAGGGTAAAAATAGGGTAAAATTGAATGTGTTTATTTAGAAAGTTTTTAGAAACTTTCGGGAGAACACGCATCTTGTCAGACAAACAGATAAACAGCAGATCACCCTATAAAGGTGTCTTTTTCCAAATTAGGAACAGAACCCTAAAAAGCAAGATTAAAGCAGTTTACATACACGTAAAATATAATTAAATCAAAAACAAAACTTTAAAAAGAAAAAAAGTCTCGCAACTCAGATTTTCTACCTTAAAAAGTTGTGAGATCCATGTAATACCAAGTCGGGTACTTTATTAAGTCGCTACTTAAGGGACCTTCTATTTTAAGTAATTAGGTACGTAATTAGCTAACCTAACAATATTATTACAATGTGACCATGTCAATATTAAAACTCTTTCATGTTTTAAATAAAATAGATTGACTAATTACGTAATAACTTAATACAGAAGTGCCTTAGAGTTTTGATGATCGGTCAGTCAGTCATTCAGTCAGTGAGTAACAAAATTAAGAAATTTTGACTAGTTATAATTCTTAAACTACTGGTTCAAATTGAATCAAATTTAAAATATACCGTGTTTATACAACGCCTGCTTAGTTACTGAAAATTCAGGCTTCTAGTTTCATAGACAACGAAGTTATAGGGGGTCGAAAATGGACTGAACTGCTTCGAGAAAAGGATGGTACGGCCGTGCCGCTTTTTTGCTCGACTTAGCTTGGGCACTACCTTTTATGCCGTGAGATACTTATAGCACAGCCACATTAGGTTATTTTATGAATTAGATAATACTGATGTAAATGACGTTGATAAAAACATATTATTAGTTCTTTACTTATAACTGGTGAAAAACTGCTATTCAATGAATTAACGTATTTGTCAATATATATGTAAAGTTTTTGCCAAATGCTTTACATTTATGTGAACATATATATCTTCATATATATGTACACTCACACCTCATTCTCATCGGGGGTTAGCAGAGACGACAGAGCGTCATTTCACATGATCCCAGGACATATATATCTCGAGTCTCTTCCACATTTATCACATCGGCAACAAGACTGTCTACGACCCTAGAGGGCCCTGACAAATTGACCCTTAAGGTTCGTAGATTTGGTGGTCACCTTGTTGATGATGGCCACAGCCACATTTGCTCTCTCCTGCATGGACACCGGTGTTTGGGGGACAGAAAGCCCTACTCTCGGCTCCTGAATTTTAAGCAGTAGATCAGCAAACTCTTAACTCACTACATCTTCCCCTAGCTCTAAGTCGTCTATAGGCTTCTGCCTTAGAGAAGACGGAGCTTGACAGAGAAGAGACCGGTGTGCGCCACCTCATTCTGCGGCTACTAGCCACTTTAGGAGGCAGCATCTCCTGGGCTGTGTCAGCACCTTGGTGGATAGAGCGTCCGCGTTTCCAGCTATCGTGAAGCTCATTGTCCAACTGC